GCCATGCAGGACTCGCAGATCCAGTGGCACGAAGACAAATGCAGAGACAATGCACAATTCTGAACAGCACAAACCCCTCTTCTAAATTCAATGTACACTATTTCCTCCGAGCCAGGTACAGTGAAATGGGTTCTGATTCAGCCGAGCTCTTGGTTACTGAACTGATTCTTTATCTGAACTAAAATGTCCATTGTGAGATATTAAAATTAAAACCAGCAACAAGATTAACTTAAAGGTAACAAACTCTCTCGACAGGGCTCCTGTTACTAGAAGTTTCACTTAAGGTGCTCATTTCATTCTCTGCGGAGCTTGTGCTGTAATACAAAGTGGGGACTGCGGCTCCTGTGAATTAGGAGAGAGAGCTCCAACACCCCAGAGCGGGGCTGTCCAGTCCTGTTCCTCAGGGGGCCCCTGTGCATCTCTACCGATTTTCCAGTTCCCTTTAAAACAGCACCTGAAGAGTTGGGAATAGCAGTTAAACTGGTCCTGCAGACACACTGCCCAGTCCTTCCAGGAACTGGACTGGACAGCCCTACAGACACTGCCAAGTCCCTCTAGGACTGGACAGCCCTGCAGACACACTGACCAGACCCTCCAGGACCAGAACTGGACAGCCCTGAGGACACACTGACCAGACCCTCCAGGACCAGGACTGGACAGCCCTGACGACACACTGACCAGACCCTCCAGGACCAGGACTGGACAGCCCTGACGACACACTGACCAGGTCTTCACCTCTGCCAGGAGAGCAAGGGCACAGAGCTCCAGACTCACACTCCCCCCGAGCCCTTAACAGCCTAACAGAACTAAATTACCGGGCCGACTGGACCAGAGCGACACTGTTCTTCAGATATTCAGGTGGTGGACAGCGAGGCTCTCCTGTCCCCCAGTTCCCTCGTCTCAACACATTAAAGTCTGGCCCCCAGAACTAGCAAAAGGGGCTCCCAGCTCTGGTATTGGGGTGACAGTCTGCCTGCAGCTTTCCTAGATCTCTTTAAATCAGCAGCACCTAAAGAAAGGGGAGAAGGTGTTAACTGGGTTCGATTGAGCCAGTAACGAGCTGAGTGAGGTCGTTAAGCAAACATGCAGACATACCTGCTGTCCACGTCTGGTACTTTCAAATCACTGAGTTCCCTGGATCAAGGTCCCCCCCCCCACAAACAGTGCAGGCCACGATCACACAGAACCACCCCCTGCAGCACAAAAACCACCACGTGTTTTTTTTAAACGTTTATCGTTTTTATTATTTACATCTTTGTGTAAAAGACTGACAGGGTTAGTGCGCACACCAGGAAAAAAAAAAAAACACAACGAAAACATACCAAGAGAGGAAAAGTGGAAGAGAGCAACAAGGGACAGGAAGTGACCTGCTGGGACAGAGAGATCGGGGAGGACAGACGTCACACTACAGGGCACAGAATGGGAGATCCAGTCCCGGAGACGTGAGACCACTGCTGGCCACACAGCAGCTCGGGACTAGCTCTGACAGGGAAGGTTAAGTGACAAAGGTTTTAATGCGCGCAAGAGTGAAGCCTGTTCCAGCAGCACAATCCTGACGGCCAATTAGCGTTCTCAAAGTGTAGTGGGGATGAAGCCGTCTGGAGAGCTGGGAATTAATGCTCGGAGTCAAGGGGCCCACTGAACTGGGGGG